AGAGATTTACAAGCACTTTCGGTCATTTTTGACCGGGAACACTAAATCAGGTAAAGGATTATCAGCACAGCACAAGGGTTACATCATACCAGCTACTTTTATGGAGATTTTTGCGCTTTTCCTGAGCTTTTTAGAGGACCAGTGATCATGATGATTTTCCCCCCCAAAAAAATTGCAGCATGAACAAATCTACTTTGTGCTCCGCAGACAAAAAGTTTTCTTGATGATGAAGCAATGATTTAAATATTTGGGTGAACTATTCTTTTAATAGCATGCCCGTCAGACTAAAACTAACAGCAGAAAAGGATTCTGGAAGAATTAAGTCATCCAGCACATACGCCAGAGCTAAAGCCAGCGCTTCTGAGTCATAGATGAATTTCATAAACATCCTTGAGGGTCAGGTGTGCTAAAAAGTGGGCTGTGCCCTCCCTGCCAGAAACAGATAGGCTAATGGTGGCCCGTTATGAAAATTAATCTAGCCAACCTTTGCGCTGACTTCTGCTTCTGGATCACTAAAAGCCCCTGTCAAAACGTCAAGTCGAATTAACGATCGGTCGTGTCAGGGGAGGGCTGGCTTTGGCCGCATCCTCTTCTTCCTGGAGCCCCGCGGCTTGTTTTAGTGCTGCTGGATACATCGCCTCCAATAGCCATCAGCGGCACCTATCACCTGATCTATAATTTCATAAGTGCGTAGAAATGGCCTTGTCCCTGTGCCTTGTATAATCAATCAAAGCCTCTGCTCATGCACGTATGTGCACTCACACACACACACACATGACTGTGTAACCTGTAGCACAGCGTGTAATAACACCATTTTCCTAGCTGTCAGTCTCCCTGGTGAGAGACTTTGAATATCGCAACACCACGAGGCGGCCAGGCAGATTATTATTATAACAGACCGATTTCCCTCAAGGATTCCTTGCTATCAACTCAAAGAAAACAGCAGGTGAGAAAAGGAAAAAAGAAAGATAACTGGAAAAAAAAGAGCAGGGCATAGTAACTAAACAATACCGAAAAGGGCAACGTGGGAAATATGAAAACCTTTTACAAAAACAAATACAGACAAAACATGAGCAGGGGCTAGCGAACGCCGTGCAGCCGGCCAACACTTATCTCCCGACGTTCCTGCTGGTTTTCCTGCCTCTGAGGGCCCGAGGTGGTAGACGTATAAGAGCGTGGCCCTGGAAAGCATGCTGTGTTTGGGGCAGAGCTGGCAATGTGTTGGGCCCGCAGCCAAAGCCTGGTTCCCAGCCCATAGTGGAGCGTGTCAGAGACAAGACAAGCGCTTAGAAATGGGGTTCAGATGTTGCTTTGAGTGGACGCAGGCTTATTGTCATCGCAGGACCTGAGCGACGCCTCCGCTAAAGACGGGACTGTGCCTATTGTTACATTTCAATTATGCAGCATCATCATCAGAGGCTTGACAACAAAGTGCATTTGTTTTATGGCTGTTTAATGCGAAGGCAGGTCCAAACGCACATTTTTAAGAGCATTTTTTTTTTTTACATATACAGTACTGGCCGAAAGTGATGTCCAGCCTAAGAAAATTAATTTTGTCCTTTATTCAAATATTTTATTAAGGGTTTTATAAGCATATTTCATAGTTGTGCTTGGAGTGTAAAACTAATGTACGCGCTCAATTGTTTCTTTTGTAATAATGCAATGAAACATAACAAATTGTGATAAATAAATAAATTAATAAAAATGCACACCACATTCAAAATGTATACTGCCCTGGAGAATGACTGCTGTAATCAAAAACACGGAGAACCAATGAAATATTAAGTATATTTTTGTATTCAATGTATGTTTTATTTCCTGTGAGCTTTTTGCTGTACATATGAATATACACTACTGGTCACAAGTTATTTATTTATTTGTTTGTTTAAAATCTTTAATGTTCAATAAAGCTTGGTTTACTTGATCAAAAACACAGTTAATATAGTAATATTGTGAAATTTTATTATAATTTAAAACAGCTGTTTTCTGTGTCAATATCTGTTAAACTGTAATTTATTTCTGTGATCAAAGCTGAATTTTCAGCACCATTACTCCAGTCTTCAGTGTCACATGATCTTCAGAAATCATTCTAATATGCTGATTTGCTGCTCAAGAAACATTTCTGATTATCAATGTTGAAAACAGTTGTGCTGCCCAATATTTATATTATATTATATACAAACCCATATTTCTATTTAAAATTACTGCTCTGCTTTTACCCATCTTTGTGAGAGGGAAAAATAACATCTGCCTAGAAACAACATCACTAATAATTTTTTAAGAGACCGGAAGCCGTAATTACAGTTAAAAAAAAAAGAAACAAAACCTGTGCTAACGGAAAGAAAACAAGTTAACAATGAACTCAAGATTTGGTGATCATAGAGCATAATGAGAGATTTACAAGCACTTTCGGTCATTTTTGACCGGGAACACTAAATCAGGTAAAGGATTATCAGCACAGCACAAGGGTTACATCATACCAGCTACTTTTATGGAGATTTTTGCGCTTTTCCTGAGCTTTTTAGAGGACCAGTGATCATGATGATTTTCCCCCCCAAAAAAATTGCAGCATGAACAAATCTACTTTGTGCTCCGCAGACAAAAAGTTTTCTTGATGATGAAGCAATGATTTAAATATTTGGGTGAACTATTCTTTTAATAGCATGCCCGTCAGACTAAAACTAACAGCAGAAAAGGATTCTGGAAGAATTAAGTCATCCAGCACATACGCCAGAGCTAAACCCAGCGCTTCTGAGTCATAGATGAATTTCATAAACATCCTTGAGGGTCAGGTGTGCTAAAAAGTGGGCTGTGCCCTCCCTGCCAGAAACAGATAGGCTAATGGTGGCCCGTTATGAAAATTAATCTAGCCAACCTTTGCGCTGACTTCTGCTTCTGGATCACTAAAAGCCCCTGTCAAAACGTCAAGTCGAATTAACGATCGGTCGTGTCAGGGGAGGGCTGGCTTTGGCCGCATCCTCTTCTTCCTGGAGCCCCGCGGCTTGTTTTAGTGCTGCTGGATACATCGCCTCCAATAGCCATCAGCGGCACCTATCACCTGATCTATAATTTCATAAGTGCGTAGAAATGGCCTTGTCCCTGTGCCTTGTATAATCAATCAAAGCCTCTGCTCATGCACGTATGTGCACTCACACACACACACACACACATGACTGTGTAACCTGTAGCACAGCGTGTAATAACACCATTTTCCTAGCTGTCAGTCTCCCTGGTGAGAGACTTTGAATATCGCAACACCACGAGGCGGCCAGGCAGATTATTATTATAACAGACCGATTTCCCTCAAGGATTCCTTGCTATCAACTCAAAGAAAACAGCAGGTGAGAAAAGGAAAAAAGAAAGATAACTGGAAAAAAAAGAGCAGGGCATAGTAACTAAACAATACCGAAAAGGGCAACGTGGGAAATATGAAAACCTTTTACAAAAACAAATACAGACAAAACATGAGCAGGGGCTAGCGAACGCCGTGCAGCCGGCCAACACTTATCTCCCGACGTTCCTGCTGGTTTTCCTGCCTCTGAGGGCCCGAGGTGGTAGACGTATAAGAGCGTGGCCCTGGAAAGCATGCTGTGTTTGGGGCAGAGCTGGCAATGTGTTGGGCCCGCAGCCAAAGCCTGGTTCCCAGCCCATAGTGGAGCGTGTCAGAGACAAGACAAGCGCTTAGAAATGGGGTTCAGATGTTGCTTTGAGTGGACGCAGGCTTATTGTCATCGCAGGACCTGAGCGACGCCTCCGCTAAAGACGGGACTGTGCCTATTGTTACATTTCAATTATGCAGCATCATCATCAGAGGCTTGACAACAAAGTGCATTTGTTTTATGGCTGTTTAATGCGAAGGCAGGTCCAAACGCACATTTTTAAGAGCATTTTTTTTTTTTACATATACAGTACTGGCCGAAAGTGATGTCCAGCCTAAGAAAATTAATTTTGTCCTTTATTCAAATATTTTATTAAGGGTTTTATAAGCATATTTCATAGTTGTGCTTGGAGTGTAAAACTAATGTACGCGCTCAATTGTTTCTTTTGTAATAATGCAATGAAACATAACAAATTGTGATAAATAAATAAATTAATAAAAATGCACACCACATTCAAAATGTATACTGCCCTGGAGAATGACTGCTGTAATCAAAAACACGGAGAACCAATGAAATATTAAGTATATTTTTGTATTCAATGTATGTTTTATTTCCTGTGAGCTTTTTACTGTACATATGAATATACACTACTGGTCACAAGTTATTTATTTTATTTGTTTGTTTAAAATCTTTAATGTTCAATAAAGCTTGGTTTACTTGATCAAAAACACAGTTAATATAGTAATATTGTGAAATTTTATTATAATTTAAAACAGCTGTTTTCTGTGTCAATATCTGTTAAACTGTAATTTATTTCTGTGATCAAAGCTGAATTTTCAGCACCATTACTCCAGTCTTCAGTGTCACATGATCTTCAGAAATCATTCTAATATGCTGATTTGCTGCTCAAGAAACATTTCTGATTATCAATGTTGAAAACAGTTGTGCTGCCCAATATTTATATTATATTATATACAAACCCATATTTCTATTTAAAATTACTGCTCTGCTTTTACCCATCTTTGTGAGAGGGAAAAATAACATCTGCCTAGAAACAACATCACTAATAATTTTTTAAGAGACCGGAAGCCGTAATTACAGTTAATAAAAAAAAAAAAAAAATCTTTCATTCAAGAGCCTCCATTTAGTCCGCGGCCCAAAAGAACCTCCATTATCAGGTTGGTTCCTTCCGTTCAGCAGCACAAAAGAAACAAACAATCCATACGTGATCAATTTAATGAACTGTTATAAAAGCTCCGTTTACACCAATCGCATCTAAGAGCTTTCCCAGAACTTTTACCTCCCCGGACCCCATTTACTTAATTAGACCGTTTGCTAATTTCCCGGGCAGCGGTGGCTAATTGAGAGGCTTTTTACAGGGGTCAGGACGCAGCCGCTCACCTCTCCTGCTCCAGCCTCATTCTCTGCGTCTCCTCCTCGGTGGCCTGACTTTCCTCCATCTTGCTCTTGCTGGACCCTTTCCGCTCCATCTTGTCCCCTTGCCTCTCATCTTTGCAGTTTTTACCGAACCTGCGGCGGCAGAGACAGAGTGTGGGATAAATTCAGATGGACTTCTAGATTGTTTGTCTTTAAGAGGAGCAAACTGTTCTATCCTTCTTTCTCTTTTCAATAAGAGCACTGGAACACCTAAAGGAAATTAAACTGTCAGAATACTTGACACATCAAAGAGAGGAACGGCCAAGAATGACAACATATCCCTTCACATTTCCACAAAAAAGACTGCAATATAAAATCACTAAAAGGGGTCATAGGATGCCCATTTTCCACAAGTTTATATGATTCTTTAGGGTCTTAATGAAAAGTCTGTAACATAGTTTGGTTAAAATGTCTCAATGGTAGTGTAAAAAACACCTTTTTTACCCCCTCAAAAACAGCTCTTTTCAGCTCAAGCCGTTTTTGTAACATTTTCCTTTAAATGTTAATGAGCTCTGCTGACCCCGCCCCTCTCTTCCGAGCTGCTCTCAGAGAGACTGTTTACAGAGACTGTGAAACAATGGCGGACTGATGACAGCTCACTCAGGGCGGGTCTGAGGTAAGACACCAGTCCAGTCTGTGCTGAAACGCTACTGTCAATCAAACTATCGTGGGAGGGGCCTGTCTGACAGGCATCTGAGATCGGCTTGATTTGAGAAAGGGGAAAACATTTAACCAGATTAAAACAAAAAACACTGGGTGGATTTTTATCATTATAGGGTGGTTGTGTACACACACTGCCAACACACATTTCAGTTCAAACAACTTGTAAAAGTGCACGTAGCATCCTATGACCCCTTTAATATTTAATAATAAAAAAGTAGCTGGTATCTTAAATAACACTACTTTATGCATGTTTCTAAATGCACTGAAATAAAGTTGCACTTGAAACGTCTGTCAATAATAAAGCTATAATTATAAAACTGGAACCTGAGCAACAGTACAGCTTGATGGAATCAATTCCAACTTATTTCACCAGTAAAGAAAAAAAAGATGTCTTAACTAGCATTTGATTCAACAAATTTTACTCATGTCCACTAGAAATTTTACTGGGTCCAGTAGAAATGAATCTTTTTCGACAGTATTTGTGGTAATATTTTGTTGATAACCACAGAAATTACTTTCCACTTACCTTTTTCTTTAAATAAATAAATAAATACATACATAATATGGTTACAATGGGGTATTTACAATGGAAGTGAATGGGGCCAATTCATAAACGTTCAAATACTCACAGGCCACGTTCACACAGCAGCAGAATACGGTTGTCAGTCCTGTATTTGAGTCATTAATACAGTTACGTTCACACACAGTACGGTTATTTTCAGAACTCACAACCGCATTCTCGGAAAACCCGCGCTGTGTGAACGGATCAGGACTGGACAACTAGTTGTCCGTCACGTCATACAGCACGAGAGAGAGCCGCTCTGCTGCACAAACGCGTGTTTAGCGTGTGCTGCGTGTTTTCATGTCTGGTTTCAGTAACTTACAGTGGCGGAGAAATGAGCTGTGTGTCATCTGAAAGTTTCAGATCTCCACCTGAGCCGCTCCCGTCAGTTTCTGTTTTTTTTGTGCGCGACTCAAATGCTCCGCTCTCCACCCAAATATAAAAGCTGCTGTCGGTTAATGAAGATTTGACGGAAGAACTCGCGGCTCGATTGGACTCTTGTCGTGTCAGAAAGTGATAAGACTTTCAGTTTTGTGGACGTCGCCATCTTTGATATTACTTTGGTCACCGTCGCTATGGTAACTGGTAAGGAATATGTCCCTTGACTCCCGTTGCACGTTCATACAGACAGTATTCGAGACGCTACTGTAAGTTGCTGTGTGAACGGGACATTTCGAGACTCACACCTGTAAGTAAATGCGGTTGTCAATCCCGAAAACTGACAGTGTGAACATAGCCACAACTTCACAATATGCATGTTAACATGGTTTTAGTGGGGGAAAAAAAATTCAGGCAGTCTGAAATGTCCTGTGTTTGCTGTGAAGTGAGGGAAACTAAAATACATGGTAATAATGTGTGTAAATGTTTTATCATTTACCAGTATTTTACATCATTTTCAAATGTAATAAGATATAGTTACTTATAATCCAATATGACTTATGTTTTTTTTCCCCTCAACAATGCAATTTTTACCCGGTGTGACTTATTTTCCACAAAATACGATAGGCCCTATATCCTATTTTACAACTATGTTGCCATGACAACAATACACCATAAACCTTAATAAGGCTGTAGTGATTTAGACAGCTTTGTAGCTCAAATAGTACATAAATTGTAAGTTTTAACTGAAGAATTAATGTAGGTGCTTCTTCTTCTTTTTATATTTGAAATCTAATGACTAAATGTAAATCTTACAAAAAATGTCTCCATTCATTTCCATTGTGAGGGGTTAGTTAAGAAATTTTACACATATACTTGAAATGCAGTAAAATTACATGTTGAACAATCAACAAACATGAATATGATGCACAATCAACATGAGGAATACACCCTTCATGTGAAATTTGCAATTGTGCAGATTCCTATTGAGAAAACTTTACTTGAGGAATTTCGCTGTACAAAGGTAAATGTGACTTCATCCTTATGCCACAAATGCTTAACTTCACAATATTTATTTTAGGAGACTGACAACATCAACTCTTACTCTGGTTGGCAGTAACTTTGTTAAGGAATTAACAGGCAGTGAGTACGCAGAGCTTAAGACATAAAGTTTTGTATATAGGCTTAAATCTGTCTGTCTGTCTGTCTGTGTGTCTGTGTGTGTGTGTGTGTGTGTGTGTGTGTTATCAGTCCCCAAAGACATTCCCCAACCAACTTCCTCAACCATTGTCCCTTCCTGATTGAAATCTTAAATCGTTACACTGTCCAGCCTTTGGACAGAATGTGGTACAGACTGGCTTCTCATCAGTCAGTGGAACAACACCGTGTCATTATCAACAGCTGCCTTCTGTTATCCGAAGTCTCCAAGGCATGTCTCAAAATACTGTGCTTCTTAGTGATGTCATTTCCTGCAGACATGTGCACACTAGTAGCTTTGGCTCGAGGGAAGACGTGGCGAAGTACCGATTGTGGTCAATATTCCAGTCAAAGCAAGACTCGTAACATGCGTTTCCAATAATTCTTGGGGAGTTTTATGCGTGTACAGGATTACTGGGGGTGATAATCAAATGTTGTACAAATAAAGCAATAACAGAGAGTGTGTGAATCCGTGGGGCGACAATATGAATTAGTGCCTCCAATAAAAGTACATTTCCATTTGATGGAAGTAATCATTTTCATTGACTAAGTTGCTTTCTCGCGACGCCTCCATTCAAGTACGAAGGTGCATTGATTATGAAAATCATTTGATTACCAAACAAAAACTCTCTTCAATAGTCCGCGAATGGATGTGTGATGTCACATGCCCGCAATTTCCCAAAAAAACACCGTAACCCTGTGCTTATTTTCTTAACTCTCTTGCCAAGGTTCACCAGAGAGCACGAGAACACAAACTTTCCCTCTAAACTCAACAGAATTACCTCAGACGGGCCATCAGACTGAACATATTCATGAAATGGGAAACGGTTTTCCCCAAATATGTTTATTGTTCTACTTTCCACGGGCTGCTCCGTGGCTCAAACGACCCCTTGATCCAGCACAGGATTGTGGGAGAAGTTCTCTTTTGGTTACATAAGCATCGAAAGGCCAAACTTTCCATGTTTGTCTCTCGGATACTGTACATTACCTGATTAATTAATCAACAAATGGTCCGGGTCTCGGTGTAAAAGTCCGCCGCACGCATGCTAATAACAGCGAGGCTCGATCTATCACTGCTCTCGCTGACAGCCCGCCGTACATCTCAAGGACTTTTTCATTAACTCTCCTTATATAATCTTCCTTTTCAGCATGTCTCTCCCCGCGCAGCCCGTCCCTCTCTTAAAATGACACGTGGAGAGATACGTCGAGAGAGAGGTGAGGATTTTGGAAATTAATCTATTTCAAGGCACGCAAACAAGTAAGGTCAAAAGCGACTCTTCGGCTCTTTCAAAGCATTGTGGGTTTCTTGTGGGCTGAATGCAAATTATTTAACCCTTACAGTAAAACTCCTGTGGGAGTCAACGTCAATTTGCAGATGAAATGGACCAAAAGCGTCTCTGGGGAACCAGCACGGTAGTTTATGTATCTCTACAATGCCTGAGGCTTTAAGCGTAATTTTCATTAACAAATGGAGAGACTCTGTAATGAACAATTCGACTGGGTTGTATTTGATGTGCAAACAGTACTTCTGTGACCTGTGGGAAGGGACCGAGCCTCCCAGTTCACTCGTTCATTTTGCTAAACATGGAAACTAATACACTCTGGCACGTTCCCTAGACCTCACATTGGGAGTTTGCTTTCACCATCAATCATCTTTAAAAGACCTCTTATAAGGACCCTAAGAAATGGCTTGACGAGTAGTTGCCAGGGGCAGAGGCATTCTCAAATTTGGATATAATAATTTAACTCTTTCCCCGCCAAACACGGAATTTTCCGGGTTTCCGCATTCTCGTTGTTATACGTTCGGGTGGCACTATTACGCTTCTCCCGAATGAGTCTAGAATGTGCCGATCAAAAACACATGCGAGGAAGACGCAGAAACGAGAGATCTCGTATGTAAGCAGATGCATATGAAAAACAAAGCGATCATCAACAATAAACAGCATTTAAATGAAAACTGCCTAATGTTACCGAGTGAAATGTTGATCCAGGAAGTGGTAAAGGTGCTGATGGAAGCGATCTACTGCATCTTTCCTTTGATCATCCTACTGAATATGATCCAGATGTAGTATTTGATAAAAACGTGATTTTCTCTGCTTTTTGCGCAAAATGTTGCTTTTTTTATAAAACTTACCTACATTCAAGTGTTGATAAAAAAAGAATGCTTGAAGCTAGAATAAAACTGATTTTTTATTTAAAAGTAGAGGCTCTGTTCTTTATGTATTGCATGTTCAGATATTCATTAAACAAATATTCTAAGGGCCATGAAATTTTAGTGAAAATCATAAAA